CAGCAGGAACAGATGCCTCTTCTTTGTGGAGAGAAATCCACAACCCTTCTCCCCTCCTCCCTAGCAAGACAGCCCTTGGGAGCATCCCTGCCTTCCCTGGAAGGTACCTGGACAGCACGGAGAAGGCAGCAGGAGAAGACAGCGCTCTGTCTCTCAGACACGACAGCCTGTAGCCCCATGGACAAGCACCTATTTGTCCCCATCGCCCTGCCCACAGTGCCGACGATGAGGCTGATGGTGGAGTTTCTGCTTTTGGCAGCCCCTTTGTTATCCCCGCAGCTCTGGGCAGCAGCAAAGGCTGCTGGGGCGAGCGCAGGCCTGCTGATGCTGCAGATGGGCTGTGATGCTTAGAGCTGCTCGGCTGTGAAAAGCCAGTTTCCCAGCCCACGGTGCAGCTCTCGAATATCTTGGCTGTAAATATCCTGAGCTGGATGTGGGAAGATGGGACAGCGAGGAGGGGACAGCCTCCACCTTCCCTGCTAGCCCAGAAGCTTCCTTAGGCCTGCTGGCAGTGACTCAGATATCGAATGGGAAAGGCAGGCATGCCGTGCCGTCTGCTTCTCCTCTTAAAGTATCGAGACAGGACTGGGGTAAGCAGAGGGGTAGAAATAGATCTGCACCATCTTCATCAGGCGCCTGAAGAGGGGAGCGTGCTGCACCCCGAAAAGCACGGGCAGCAGATGAACCCTTCCACCCCTGACTGAGGGGCTGCTGGAAAAACCCCGCCATCCCACCCCCTCTTCTTATCCCATGGCATTTGGGCGACGGTCCCACATATGTCGCCAGGGGAAGTGTCAAGTCTTACTTGGAAGCCGCCGTGCCAATTTAGCACCCTGTCATTCACAGCCGCGGCACAGGTGTGACCCAAGAACACCGCTTCTCATCCTCCCGATCGTATGTCATGTCCTCAGCTTGCCGAGCTTCTTAGGAGGTTAGAAAGTCAGTGCTGATTTCATTCTTTTCTCTCCTTCTTCTTTCCCTGCCTCTTTCCCCCAGCTCTTTGGCTGCTCACCCTGCCACCAAACTCTTGTTCAATTTCTGGAGCAGCAAGATCTTCCTGCTTGCTTGCAGGCGTGGACTTAGGTGCTGCTGGCTGCCAAAGCAGCCTTCCAGGGCACCGGGGATACAGATCTGTCCTGCGACTTGGAGACCATTTTGCTTCTTAACAAGAGATACAGCCCTAACAGTTGGAGCCCTGCCTGGGAGGATGCTTGGGGTCCATCCATCTTCTCCTTCCAGCAGAAGAGTATCTGCTTCTTTCCCACTACTCAAGCCCCTGAGGCTGGAAGGAATTTAATTCCAAAACCTGAAGGCCCCCTTGCATTTTGGTGCCTATCTGGACAGCACAGTTGTGGCTGCAGGACAAGACAGGGGGTTCATACGGTTGCTGTCGCAACCAGCCATGCATCCCTGAGCTCATTTATAGCTGGGTCAACTGGGAAGAGCCATTGGCACAACCGATGGCCAGGGTAAAAGCAGACCTTTGCTGCTGCAGCTTGTCTGGGTCAAAATGTAATAGTAGAGGGAGATATCCCTGCACAGTCACATTTGTGGATCTCCTTATGGAAGTCTCTGCAGCATCAGCTCCACCATCACCCTGGTGGGAAGTGGTCCAGGAAGCAAATCCAAGAGGCTCGTGTTCACTTTCCCTCTTGCTGTCAGTGGGCAACGTCCCTTCCTGGACGGCACAGGGGAGCTGTAAGCCCTGGAAACCGCTTGAGTGAAAGAGCTGGGCAAGAGGGATGCTACAGAGACAGCTCTGACCTGCGGCGCAGCTTACGTAGGGTTCTTAGGAGCAGCTTGCCCTTCAGGGCAAAACTCTCCTTGTTTTCCTGTGGCAGGGCAAATTTAAACCTGGGGTAAAGGTTTGGGTCTTTCAGAAGGAGTGTGTCAACAGTGCCCCCTTTGAAGCAAACAGTCTTGTCTCTGTGGTGCAGCTCCTCCGGTGATTTCCATGCTGGATCTCCCATGGATATCGCTCCACTGCTGACCGATTTGCACTGGCTGAGCCCCTGTAGCCCAGTAACACATGCCGTTGCTTTCACTTTCAGCCTAATGGAATGTATTCTTTTCTGTCTTCCAACCGCTCAGACTCATTTATAGTTATTTCATAGCTCAACCTGCCTCAGCAACGATCCCTGCAAACTTTGAGTTCCACTGAGCTGATCAGCCCATGGACTAGGGGTACGCCTTTGAATCAAACATTAGAGCTGGAATCCACCCTGTGCTGGAGGTTGCATTATACATTGGGAGATTTCTTTTCTCCTAAGGGATGGCTTGCAGCAGAGAGCATACCGAGGAGTGTTGTTCTAGCACAAACACAGCTATTTAAATGAGCCACAGTGAGAACAGAATTTGTGTTAGCTTGGGAGGATAAAATTGGATTGAAATTGGATATAGTCACATACATACCATTGATCTCATCCGTCCTTACTTTACATATGTTGGATTTCCTGCTGCCAATATAGAGGAGCAGCTCTAAAATAAGCCAAAGGTATGTAAATGGAGAGCAATATGTTCAAGTGGAATTACGATTTCACCTCTAGGTTTGTTTGAGAGGCAGAAATAAGGCCGGAGCTCTGCCTCGTTTCACACACGCTGTGCCTGTTCCTGTCATAGCTATGGGAGAGGCGCTCCTCTCAATGTCATTTAGATTTATATCGCCTGGGTGAGTAAGAGGGGGTCAAGAGCACAGGTAGGCACTGCCGATCAGGGCTCCTGCTTTCTCCCAGCAGCGTGGGAGAGGGTTCCCTCCCGCGTCCAGAGCGGGGAGCCCGCTTAGGGACACCCGGGTCCCCCACCCAACACTCCTCATCCTACACTTGTGTCGCCAGTTGGGCTAGGAGATCCGGCAAATATTTGCCTCAGTTTCCCTCGTTGCCAAAAGGGAGGGCTAAAACTTATTAGTCCACAAAAATTAATTACTCAGGCTTTGCAACATGCTTTGCACTCCTCCGAAGGACGGTGATGCTCTCTAGAACTGGAAACCCTCCCTCTCTTCTTTCCCACACTTGCTGCTTGCCATCTGGCTGAGAGGCATGCAGAAAAGAAGACACAAATCCTCCATTTAATTATACTGCGCATTTTATTATCTCACCTCAGATTTTGTTGTTAATCTCTTTTACAGATTTCGTTTACATAAGTGGAGTCTTTTAGCTTCAGCAAGCTACGTCGCTTTCTCTTCTGATTCTGTAGATACCAGTCAGCTAAAAAGAAAAGAAAGAACAAGTGTCCTTAAATTTGTCATTCACTCTTCCCTAGGCTTTATATATTGTTTCCTCCTCCTCAGCTCCCGAACTAAAAAGCTAGAAGGCAAAGTGAAATCGGCACAGCCAAAGCAGAGTAACAGCTCCCACAGGGACAGAGGGGACCCTCTTATTTGGGACATGTAAGCCCGGGCAGGACAAAGGTCCAGAGGTAACTCCAGCGAGCCCCCTTCCACCACCCCCCAGCTCTGCCGGCAGGAATAGCTGCATCCCACACTGCCCCTGGTATTTCCTTTTGCAATTCCAGTGCACTAAGAGCAGAGCCCAGGGCTGGGTTTGTTGGCACCCAGCACCTCAAAGTGCAGCTAATGGCCGCTGTAGTTGCTAGTGTTAAGCCCCTGCGCAGGGAGCAGGGTGTTCAGGTCTGACTGCAGGTGCTGAGCTGCCTCGCAGGTGTAGTTTGCGTTACAAGCTCTGTTGGAAATTGTACCCTGAAGACCAAGTACTGTTTGGGAGGAGGAGCAGGGAAGTGGGCAGCAGTGCCAAGGAGAGCTGCGGGGAAGTGTTGCGGTGCGAACAGTCAATATCAGCTCTAGGGCACAGACAGCACCCCAGAGAGGGAGTAACCTTCCCAGAAGAAGAGTGTGTACATAAGCGCAGGTGGGGTATCTGAGGACTCGGTAAAGTGAGCAAACACGACACAAAAGCCCTTCTGAGGAATATAAATATCTCCGTGATGATGAGCTGGTGAGAGGAGGTAACGGCAGAATTCCCAAGGCAGAAATCAACCTCCTGACAGTACCGTCTGGGGTGTCCTGTAACATCTCTGCTAGCAGTTTCTCCAGGACATCTTGGTATTTTTCCAGCTGCCTTGGGGCGAGCCACATCCCGGCTTTGGCAGGAACAGCTAGCTGTGGAGGAAGCCAGAAAAGTCAGGAGGAACAGCTGAGGGGAGCAGAGGGAGGCAGGCTGGGTTGCTTTGACCCCACCTTGCTCAAGTCGGTAGAGGGTCTAGGGCTGAAGGGAAGAGGATGATCCTTATATGGGGAAAAGCAACATTTTAAAGTCAATGCAATCTTGTGCTGTTCAGAGTGCCAGAGTTTTCATGCATTGGATCATCTATGGGCTGACTCAGAAACAGAGATAAAAGTACCTCCTGGCAACAGAGACTGTAAAGAAGAAAATAATTTCTGAACCTTATAATCCTCCACTATCTCACACCTTGTCCCTTCAAGCCATCAGCTTTACTGATGCTGGTGAAGCACCCTGCCTTAGTAAAGACGGAGGATGAGACACCATCCTGCCTCCAGACTGACTGACTTTGAGCCAGCTGTGGCTCAGATGTACCCGAAGTAAATAGAGTTGTTCCGGTCATGGCTGGAGGCACAGGAGGGCTTGTGGTTGCAGCGGGGGGGTGTTAGACACTGGGATGTGCCAGTTATTTAATGCTTTGAACTGTGAATCCTTGCTGTTTAAATCCTATTATTGGCTGTTGGTGCACCACGTTTGCGAGAGTAGTTGCACGTTAACCTGTGTCTTGGCCAAATTCCGGTCTAGCTAGTCCCGCTGCCTGTCCTGCTCAGTCTGCCCCGCAGTTTGGGGTGGACCTACGCCCTCCTTTTGCTGGCAGAGAGACCGGCCGAGCTCCCCGCGGGAGCGGCTGCACGGACAGGGCAGAGAGTTCCCTGTATTCAGGTGGAAAAGCACAATTTTCAGACTTGGCTAACCAGGTAAGCATGCCTTTGAGGGCTTAGACTGGTACTTAAATCCCTAAAATTGACAATTTTCTGCTCTGTATACAGACTTTGGGGGGGTGCGGCCGTATGGGCCCAAGCTTATAAATAAGGCCTTGCCAGTGCAGAGGACTGTGAGATCGGAGGTGACACCGGGCAGCTAATCTGGAGCCGGGTGAAAAAGTGACAAGACAAGTTAAACCCAGAGCTGAAGCAGAGCTGCAAATTCCTGCCTTGCAGCTGGCTTGTGTGCACTGAATGGCAAAGACAGACCTCACGTTGTCTCTGTCTTTCTAAGGGAGAAGCCAGGCGGGTCTGAGGGGCCACCAGGCTGCTGAATGTCCAAGATAATTTCTAGGGTGGAGGCAGAACCTTCCTCTGATGCAGCCTTGCTCAGTTGCCCGGCAGGGCTGGCAGGAAACGGGCGGTGTTGCTTTCCACGGACTGTGGGCTCCTGCAGAACACTGCTGTCTTCTCCCGCAGCACCACCGAACACTCCTCTGCAGCCAGGCCCTGCGGGCTGACTCTTGGGCTACTGTGTGTCCTCGTGGGCTCCTTAGAATCGCATGGTTCAACGTACCTGGGTGGCCTTGGCCTTGTTGACACCTGCACTGGACTGCTCAGAGGAGCTTTCCTCTTCCTGCTGCTGCAGCGAGGTCAGGGATTTCTCCTGCCCTCCTTTGCTCCTCTCCTTTTCCTGCATCTTCACAGTAGAGAGCAAGCGCGGCAGTGATGCTGGGATGCAGCGTC